AACCTTGTACCATATAGAAGATTAACATTGCACAAGGGGTTTAAATCACAGTCTTCCCATTAAGCACAGACAATTGCATGCACACAGTCCATTTATCTGTGGACACAACAGAACCAGCCTGAGGGTAAAGAAGCATAGTTGTTGAGGGTGTTTGGCACATCCCCTGGCTAGTTAAACAAAACCATGTGAAAACAGCCAGGCCTATTTATGAGTTGGCCTATAGCTGATGTGACAGACAAGGAATAAAAGTAATAAAACCTGCCTTATATTGTCCATAGCATTAGGCCATAAGAGAAACTTTTGTACTTAAGTACAAACATCAGGGTTGCAAAATTTTTCAGTCAGTAGAGAATAATTGCTTCTCTCCCTCTAGGTCATTTCATAAAAATAGTTTAACTCATCAAAGATAATTCCAATTAAGAAGCTCTAAATAAGTCAGAAACATTTCTTACACCCTTCCAGTAGTTATACAGGCCTACCTGTACTTAAGAGACAAATGAATAGGGTACTTTAATGGGAATCACAGGAATCACAGCTTCATATGATTGCAGGTATTGTTTTGACATGGATCTCAAATTTAGACACCAAGCATATCACACTCAACTTTCATCGCCATCTTTGGAATGAGTGAATTCAGGCCATGGTTCAATAGTGATCAACTCCTTATCTCTCAAATTGAGAATGGAGTCGCCTATCACGGCAGCTGCCCTCCGTTGAAAGCCACCACTAGTCACCATGACTATTGGGATTCGGCGGGAATAAGCTTCACGGAAGACCATCTCATCACGCTTGATTACCCCTTCGTCAGAAATTTCCATGAGTCCTGTGGGATCCCCAGCCATGATGTCAGTCCCAGCATTGTAAAGAATGAAGTCAGGTGAGAATTCTTTGAAGGCTTTTTCCAAATTCCTGAAGAGGAGCACAAAACATCACAATGAGAATTAGGCACTGATTCAAAATATGCTTGAACCCTTTTCAAAGTTGCACAATGAGATCTAAAATTTGACCTCAATAAATTTCAATCACTATGTCAATATGACAATCTAACAAGCTTCTCATTGTACACGACACACAAGCAGTGAAAAAGGCTACTGCTACTTGTTAAGTAGATAAGAGGAACTACATGTTGGGCACAAAATCCTGTCACCATTAAAGAATGGTTTTAATTTGAATTTGAATGAGCTGCAAGTTTTTGTTATGACTTATTACAAAACTTTTTCTGCATTATGTTGGATACTCTCAATGAGATATGGATGCACTTTCCAATTGTGTGAAAAACAATACCAGCATATGGACATACGCCTTCATGGAGAGCTTTTGTGCCTGTTCTATACATCACCTTACCTTTCTAAAAGATTCAAGATGGTAGAGTCATCTGTTCCGGAAGACAGTTTCTCTGGGAGGGTGATGCCTTTCATGGCTTCTCTATCTCCGGGATATATGCTACTGTTGAACATGTCGAAGATATAAATGCTTTTATTGTCCATAAAGTCTCATTCGTGACCATTTCCCTAGAAAAAAAAGGCACCAATATCTCAATCCAACACAGGAGCTCCGTGCCAATAGGTCAGAGGATAGTGGATTAAGAATTTCAATGCTTTAGTGCCAGTCCTTACCTGATGGGCATCCAAGTCAATGATCATGACCTTTTTCACTTGGGAGAAATTTTTCTGGACCATGTAAACACACAACGTGATATCAGCGTAGGGACAGAGTCCGCCGCCTGAATTCCCTGAGCA